TATCTGTACATGCACTTATATATTCTATTGTATATTATATATTCACACATTTATAAAGGCAACACCATACAGCTTTCTCCTTCTTAATCTAATACATCGTAAACATCTTTCTAAGGCAATAAGCATACTATACAATAATTTTTAGAGCTGTAGTATTTCATTGTATGGCTGTATAATTAATGTACTTAATCCCTCATTGTAGGATGTTCATACCTTTTTCAATTTTTCCTGATTATAAACAATAATTTGTATATTTTCTTTTCTTTCCCTTAATCAGAAGTGTATTTCCTTGTAGCATGTAAGGTAGCAATCATGTGTATTTTTTTTATTTATTTACCTATCCATCTATTTCCAAATAGTTGGTTAGTTTTCTCAACAACACTAATTTTCAAACAATCTCTATTTTCCTATCAGTCTGAACTACTTCATCATACCCTAAATACCTTAGGTTTCCTTTAGAGTTTCTGTCCTGTTCTATTCCCCCTTTCATGTAATTCTATGATTGTTCAACAACTATTTGGTGTATTTCTTTGATATCTGATATAGGAAGGATGCCTTCATCCATCTTTTTTTTCCAGACAAATATTCTGATCTTTGACCATCGCCAGCCACCCACAAAGAATAAAATGAATGCATTTGTGTTTATCCCCTCTGATTACTCTTGTTCTTCTAGAAGAACCAGAGTGCAAAGACTAGACCAGCATGAGGGAGGCACAAAGATCTGTGCTGAGCCACAAGCAAATGATAGATTCTTCATGGGTGGAAAATTTCCCAGCAGCCTGTGAACACCTCTGGGTTATACTCGTCACTCAGAGTGGAAGTCAGCTGCCTGTGACAGTGTCTCCTACTAGACCAGAGGCTGTCAAACATGGATCCACATTAAGATCATCCAAAGAGCTTTTCCAAAGTAATGATGCCCAGACCCCACCCCAGATGAAGTAAATCAGAATCTCTCAGGCAGCAGTTTCTGGGTACTGGTGCATTTGTAAAGCTCCCTGGGAAACACTCTTGTGCAGCTAGGGCTGAGACCCAGTGCACGAGGCTGTAGGCTTCCTATAGTCAAGATACATGCTATTTACTCCTTAGCATTCTTGGTCCTTTGGACCACTCCTGACATGTGTTGGAACACAGCAGAATTGAACTGAATTCAGATGAAGACACCAAGACTTATACATCTCTACTAATTCTCCTAGGGAAAGGGATACAGATTATTAGTGCTCAGTAATGAACCTCTTAACTTTCTCTCAGTAACCCTAAAAGAAGTAGCTTCGATGTGGAGGAAAATGAGCTCTGTCTTGGTCCAGTAAAGGTAACAGCTGAAAGTCTGAAAAGAGGAAGACTTAGAGAGAATCTAACCTGTCCCCTCATTTTAACCCCTTGGAGTCCAGAGAGGTTAAATGACTTTGCAAGGTGGCACAGCTCTTAGTGGCACATCTGGAACAGAAATGAGCACTTCTTACTCCAGGGATCGGTGTTATACCTTGCTACCCTTGTGTGAGCCTATGTGGGAGAGTATATATATGTGTGTGCATATGGGCTTGTAAGTGTGTGTGTGTGTGTATGTGAGGCTGGGTGTTTCAATGTGTGCATTTGTGCGTGTACCTGGAATGGGAGGAGGTGTGGAAGCTCCATGGGAGCAGAGCTGGTCCGCTCCTTCCGAACTAGTTGCATTAAAGTAACTAGACACCCAGGAACACTTTCTCTTTTCTTTCGGGCATGTTGGTTTGCTGTGTTCTCTCCAGGTTGTCCTCAGAGGCCCAGCAACGTCTGCCTGGGAAGCAGGGTGGCGTTCCAAGTCTCAGCACCTATTGTGTAGGCGGTGCTCAGCATTAAGGTTTGCTGAAGCGGGATTTGGGGAAGGGTTGTAGCTGGCAGCCTCGGGCTCATTCTGCTGTGCGGTGGTGTGCTGGGACAGTGGGGAAGGCATGAACCATGCCTTGACTGTCCTAGGGTCCAGGACTGTTCTGTGGATAGATGGCAGTTTTCTTGTAGAATGTAAGCCAAGTAGAAATGTTTGTCCTCATGTTTTGCTGAATGTGCGGCTTCCTCCCTGCACTGTCCTCTCTTTTCATCCCAGAGTCCTCCAGGGGGCCTCTCTGCCAGACCTGCCAGACGAGGGTGACCCTCAGATCCTGGCTCAAAGGCTGCTTCAAAGGACTCTGCTGGCACAACTTGGCCAGGCCCAAAGTCCTCCTTCCTCAGTTTTTAGGGAAGCCACGTGGAGAAAGCAGAGCCTGCCCGGGACAGCCTTTGGGGGTCTGACCTGCCAGCTGGGCCCTGATATAACAGAGCAGGCTTGTTACAAAACCCAAGCTCACATTTGCTAGAGGAAAACCTGTACAGAAGCAAAATTAGCTAAGAGTTGGGTAATGCAGATGAGAGACTTACCTGAGCAGCTGGAAATCAGTCTCATGGGCTTTGCTTTTGACCCAAATCGTTCTGATCACAATGGCATAGATGACACTGCGGAAAGGACCAAAGATACTATTAAAATGTCTGGTGGGTCCATACTGTGAAGACCACTCCGAGTTTCCTGAGTGTGAGGTGTGGAGTCAGGGGTCTCTCAACCACGGTCTGCCCACCTCTGTAGAATCACAGTAGATGGCAGCTCCTTCTTTTTTTTAAGCCAGGAGGCTTGGACCTGGTGAAGTTAACTGATTTCTCCAAGATAACTCTGTGGTCAGAGGTATAGCTTAGATTGGAATCAAAACACAGGGTTTGGGGTCGGAAAGGTTTAGATTTGTAACCAGCTCTACTACTTGCTGGTTATATGACCTTGATTTTAGACAGGCTTTCATGTGCCTCCACGATTCCCACCTCGAGTGTTCACATCGCTGTGTCATCCTCTCCCCTTGAGTGTGGCTGGACCTGTGACTTGCTTCTAATCAATGCATTGGGGTGAAAGTGATGGGATGTCTGTGATTACATAATTGTGTAGCACCTGTCTTGCTAGTGTCTCTCTGTATTCCTAGCTTTGAAAAAGCAAGTTGCTGTGAGTCCTACAGCCCCAGGAAATCAATTCTGCCAGGAGCCCAGGGGAGCTTGGAGGAAGATCCTTCCTCAGTTGAGCCTCTGATGACACCCCAGCCTTGGCAGACACCTTGATGGCTGCCTTGCCTAAGCAGAGGACCCAGTTAACTGTCCAGACTCCTGACCCACAGAAACTGTGAGATAATAAGTATATGTTTTAAGTCACCAGGCTCATGATAATATGTTACCCAACAATACATAACTAATACACTGAGCGAAATAGGAGGAATGTTTGTGTCCCCCTCCTCTCCCAATTTACATGTTGAAATCCTAATGCCCAATGTGATGGTATAAGGAGGTGAGGCCTTTGGGAGGTGCTTAGATCATAAGGAGGGTGAAGTCCTCATGAATGGGATTAGTGCCTTTATAAGAGGAGACCCCACAGAACTTTCTTGACCCTTCTGCCACGTGAGGCTACAAGGAGAAGTCTGCAGCCTGGAGGACAGCCCTCACCCAAATGTACTGGCAGCCTGATCTCAGACTTCCAGCCTCCAGAACTGTGAGAAATACAGTGGTGTTGTTTAGAAGTCACCTACTCTGTGACATTTTGTTATAGCAGCCCGAACCCACTAAGACACTGGGCCTCAGTTGAGACTGTCAAATCGAGGTAGTAATACAAACCTCTTAAGAGGTTTATAGGGATCAAATGTGACAACATTTAAAGTGCTATGCACGGGCTTGAAAATTAGCAGAGGCTCAATAAATGCCATTTTCTTTCCTCTCTTTCTTCCCCAATTTTCACATAATATCACACCTACTTTTACATGATATAATCTGTACCTAAAAGGAAAAAAAGTGTTAATGACTCAAAAGCATTAGCAAATTTTGTATCTTTTGTTCCGTTTGATAAATATAAACATGCATGCCTTTAATTAGTTATTTGACATTTCTAATTTATTAAGAACCTTGACTAAAAACTTTGAGACAAAGCACTTCTTCATTTTAAAACTGCACCAACTTCCCTCTTGAGAATCACTTGGTTGAAAAAAAATCAGAGTTCTAGTTTGCAGTAGCTGACAAAGCACTAATTGCTTTTAATGATCTTTAGAATATACTTTAATTAATGGCTGTGGTAAAACCCTCCTTATTGATTTTCCCCTGCTCAGAGAACCCCTCTGAGTGTTCCAGGAAAGCTCGGGGCCTTTTTGGAGCATCCTCACTCCTTCTCATATACCTGCCCAGGGACTTTCCTGGAAATTGTTTGTCTACATTAAAGAAAAAATGAGAAAGAAAACTGCTAATGAGTCTATTCTTTACCCTGAGTTGAATATTTGTTAGAGCAGGGAAACTTTTTCCCAGGTAAATTAAATACAAGGAAAGGTTACAGCCACCATCAAGTATTAATTGTGTACTACAATTGCAACCCCAGGGCTTAATTGATCAATAATTCAAATATTTATTGACCATCAACCATATGTACAATGGAAAATTAAGAAAGATTTTATGTGTTAGGGGTTTGGGCTTTAGTCACCCCCACCTTGTCTCCTTAGGATCAGGCAGGCAGGTGGAAAGCCAGTAGCAGCTTTACTGTTAGCCAGGAAAACTAATAAGTAAGATGCCTCTTTAGCTTATTCCCCAAATCCAGCCACTTCTCAGGGTGTAACAGTCATGCGTCAGAGAGCACTCTGAATACATTCATTTCCTTCTTCTTGCTGATTTCTTTCACCTAATTAATCAACAAGTTCTATGGACTGTCCTTGAAAATGTCTCCATCACCTGTACCTTCCTCTCCGTTCCTGCTCTTCACTATCACTTCGGACCCTCATGATCTCTTTTTGTTTAATATTGATATTTTGATGATATTTTTATTGTGGTAAAATAAGCATAACATAAAATTTACCATTTAATCCATTTTTAAGTGTATAGTTCGGTGGCATTAAGTACACTGACATTGCTCTGCAGCTATCACCATCATCCATCTCCAGAACTTTCTCGTCTTCCACAACTGAAACTCTGTACCCGTTAAACACAGAAGTGTGCATTACTTCACAAATTAATGTGTCATCCTTATGCAGGGACCATACCAATCTTCTCTGTATCATTCTAATTTTAGTATACATGCTGACAAAGCAAGCACCCCTTATAATCTCTTGCCTGATTATTTGACATAGTCTTCTAAACACCTCCACTCTGCTAGCATCTCGAATGCCCACACCTCCCGCCATCAGAACTGGAGCTCTGGGACAGAGCATCATTCCCTGGCTTAAAAACCCTCCAGTGCCTCCTCTTTCCTATAAGATGGTATCCAGTCTCTCAAGCAGGGCATCCAAAGTCTCCCACAATCTGTCTCTGCTTTCTTCATCTCTATCATTATCATCCTGCCTCCTTCCCTCCCCACTGTCTCTCAACACATTTTTTCCGTGTGGGCAACAGGAGAAACCAACTAAACTAACCCCGATTCCATGCTTAGTATGTGGTTGACTTTGGGTGAATGTGAGATCCAAGGTCTTCCATTTCTCTGTGTCTGCTTTCCTTTCTTCCTGAAAATACATTTATTTTTTTTTAGCCCATTCTCTATATATCACTTTGCTGTGAAACCTTTCAGAGCTGCCTCTGTTCCTCAGTGACAGTTAGCTCCCCCTTCCTTGGGGCTTCCATGCCGGTATAACACTAGGCCCGCTGAATTTTGTCTATGGCAGTTGTATCTTAAAGATCAAGCAGACCTAGAAATAGCCCATTCTCAGAAACAGAGCTGAGGAATAGCACCTCCATTCTTTTGGGTCAACTTCTTCCATGTCTTTTCTTTATCTCCACTCCCTCAGCAGTTGTAGCTTTTCTTCAAGTTTCTTAGAAATCTGAAAACCTAAGGGTCACTAAGATTGAGTAAAATACCTCTTCCCTGCAACTGGCTGGTTTATTTCTTGATTTTATGGAAGACAGTCCAGACACAGACCCGTTTTCCTTCATTACCTTCATGAAGGCAGCTCCTGGCGGAGGGAGAGTGCGGGAGTCCAAGCCAGAGGAAGACCTTTCAAGTGGCATTAAGTACTTAAGAGGATGCCTGAGGCCAGTTCCTGAGTCTTGCTTCTGGATTGTCTATGAGGAGTGTCAGGAAACAGAACAAAAATTCTCTCTGTCCTCAAGACACATGGAGAGCATTCCACTCAGACCAAAAGTGCCCCTTTCACAAATGCTGCAGGACTCAGCACAGGCCTGGGGACTTGAAGGAGGCCCATCACAGTCTTGGAGCCACAGGCTCTCTCTGCCTGCATCTTTGCCTCATTTTGGGGCCTGAGGATGATGTCCAGTTGTGCTCTGAAGTTCTCATTAGAGGCCAAGCATAGGGAGGGGGTGTAGGGGGAGCTGATGCTTCACTTAGCACGGTCCTTTTTACTCTTCTCCTAGCAGGGGCTTAAGGATGCTCCCTGACCAAAAGCGTCTCTCCCCTTTATTAGTTAATTTCACTAATACTAATGCTATGAAGATAAAATATAGGGAGATACAAGAGTATATAATAGAAGACTTGTTCTGGGGGTCATGGAAGCCTTCCCAGAGGAGGTGAAATTTCAGCTAAGATCGGAAGGATAAAATTGATTTTTTAAATGCAAAAGGGGATGGTCATTCAGGCAGAGGGAACAGCATGTGCAAAGTTGCTGAAACAGGAGGGATCGTGTGCATTTGAAGAACTTAGAGAAGGCCAGCATGGTTGAAGCATGGTGAGTAAGGCAGCTTGTGTGCCTTAAGATAAGCATGGAGAGTGAGGCAAGAACCAAATCACACATGGCCTTTAGTGCAGGGTTAGAGGTCTTGGACTTTATCCTGAAACAATGGAAATCCACTGAATGGCTCTAAACAGGAAAGTAAAATGATTAACATGTTTTTTTTTTAAGATCAGACATTGTTCAGCGTGTATAATTTGTTTCTATACATGTGTATATGCTGGTATATGAATTGAACAGTCCTGGAAGGGTATATAGCAAGGGTCCCCAACTGCCGGGCCGCGGACCGGTAGTGGTGCATGGCCTGTTAGGAGCCAGGCCACACAGTAGGAGGTGAGCGGCAGGTGAGGGAGTGTTTGATTAAATAAACCAGCCCCTCCCTCCCCATTCCCCCATCCCCCCCCCCCACCCCCGCACCGCCCCGTGGAAAAATTGCCTTCCACAAAACTGGTGCCTGGTGTTAAAAAGGTTGGGAACCGCTGGCATATAAGAAATTCTTAACAGTGCTACTTCTGAGGAGGGGGACAGGGCAGAAGTGGAAGGAAGATTTTTATTTTTCATTTCATACTCTTTTGTTGCTTCGAATGGGGAAATCTTTCCAAAAGCTCTTCAGAGAGCTCACATTTCATTGGCTAGAATTGGATGACATGGCCATTCCTGAACCATTCACATGCCGAGGGGAGGGGTTGCCATGAGTGGCTTAGAGTGGAATGGATATGGGAAATTCAAACACAAGCATCTACCATAACCTGGCAGGCTAGTGATAATGGCTTTTTCAAAAGACCTAACTCTTGCCACCCCTCAGGTAAAAATATATAGGATGTCACTTCCTTGACTGATGCGATGGGTCATCCGACCTTGGCCTTGGACTTCATGTCATGGACAGTGCTGGCTAGGATCTTGGGCCCTTTTACCCACCATGGCCTTGTAGTCCATAGAACTGTACTGACTTCAGCTTGGGGCTTTCCCACGGTCTGTTCCCCTTTCCCCAAGCAAAATAAGATGGATTTTTTTTTCGTGTAACATAAATCAGGGCTCCATGACAGGCGTGCTTTCTTCCTCTTATTCCTTTGCAATTGTCGGCTCTGGATCTTTTAAGCCTCTGCCTTTGTCTCACAGAGTAAAAATGATAGGAGAATGAGAAATCAATTAGGTAGCAAGAAAATAACCATAGCTAAAGTAAAGCAATCACACCAGGGCTAAAAACCTTTCCCAGCAACAGTTAGACAGTTGTGTCAAGTAAATTTTGAAACAACAGGAGTTGTGTTGACCCAGAAAGACAGTGTATTGCCTTTATTGTCAGTCACTGTGGTTTCAAGTCTTGGCAGCCTGATTTAATTAATGACAGAACAGCTAAATCTTTATCCATACACAGCTCTCATGACAGTTTGCCACTGACAGTACCACTCCTTCCTTCCTCTCTTTCCCTCCCTCTCTGCCTTTCTTCCTTCCTTCTTTCCTTTCACATATATTTATGGAGTATCTACCATATGCCAGAAACTGATCTAGGCACTAAATAACCAGAAATTTACATACTAGGGGTGTGTGTGTGTGTGTGTGTGAGAGAGAGAGAGAGAGATGGAGTGACATGACACTTCTGTCTGATTGATGAAGTTCATCAGTCAGGTCTGCATTGTTTATTTAATCAAACATTTATGAAGTGTCTGTTATGTGCTGGGTTTGGAGTCTAGAGATTAAGAGACAAGAGTCCATGTACTCAAGAAATGTAGCCACACTAGCAGGCAGTGACTCTCCCATGAAGCCTTAATGGCAACATGGACAAGCTGAGGCGGGATGCGGCCTAGGATTGGCAGGGGCAGCTCCGTGTGGGGTTTGGTATTTGAAATGAGACAGAAAGAATGTGAATCATTTTGCCAGAAGCAAGGCAGGGTGAGTCTGGAGGAGTGCTCAGGCGTAAGGAATGATGTGCACAAAAGCCCAGGGGTGAGAGGAGCGTGGGGTGTCCCGGAAACAAGAGGTGGCTTGTTCTGGCTGCAGTAGTGGGTGCAAGGAGAGTGTGTGAGCAGCTTCTCCAGGAATAGCCACGGAATCTGAAAAGGACCAGCGATCTGTCTTAGCAGATATTAAATGTATATAAAGCTACAGTAATGAAAACAATGTGGTGTTAGGGGCAGAAAAACCACTAATTTAGTTATTTGTGTGTTTTCTCCTCTTCTTAATTATGTCAATCACTACAAACTGGAAACAAAATGAAACCATATTCAAAGTGAAGAAACAAACGATAAACTAGGGAAATTTTTGCAATATATTAAAAAAGAAAAAGGTTATTGCATAAAGAATTCTCTAAAGATAGAGAATAGAGAAAATAAAAACAGAATAAAGTGAAGGGACTAGAAAGCTCAGAAACAATAAGAGCGTTTATAATATAAATATGCATATGATAAAATTACCATTTCATACCGTAGAGAAAACATAAATCATTCAGTAAGTGATATTGGAACAAATGACCCAGCATTAAAAAAAAACAAATTAAACTTAGATCTCTAATTCATATTACATAAAAATCAAATTAAACATCAAAATCAAATAAAAAATATTTTAAGGTGATATTTTTAACATGCTCTCAACACTGAAATTATTTTCAAATAATTAAAATTATAAATCATTAAAAAGTTAAAGTATAGATAAGTTTGTGAAAGGGACAATTTCCTAAGAAAGAAAAGAAATGAAAAAATGTAAAGAAAATTGTGTGTCAATGTGAATACACTAAAATATAAAATGCTTATATATTACAGAAAAGCCATATACACTTCATTCATATTTTCACATGCATTTATATAAAGTTTTGCAAAGTGCTTTCCTATGATTCTTTTTTTAAATCGAGTCATTTGACTTTCTAATTTAGGTATTCATGATTTCTCTCCTTAATTATGTCAGTCTTATTAACTGAAAGCAAAATAAAATCACATTCAAAATGAAAAGGCAAACTAGGGACAAACTAGGGAAATATCCTAATCGTATAAAAACAGGAAAAGTTTTTATGTAAAAAATATCTCTAAAGACAGAGAATAGAGAAAATAAAATGGAGAAAAACGGGTAAAAGAATACGAATAGGTAATTTACTTAAAAAACAAAAATAATAACGAACATATAAAATGTGTTCAACCTCATCTGTGATGAACGAAATGCGAATTAAAACAATAGTATATACGTATTTTTGCCTATCAATTTGGTAAGAATATACATATATATGTATATATATATCTGTATATAAATGTATCACGCATGAGGGACAATAAAGCATGAGGCATGGTTAATAAAGAGCATGAACACCTTATCTGTGTTGTTTCTTTTGTCTACTCAGTCTTGTAATTAAGAATTTAACCTTATCTGAAAGAGTCACTAGCAACAGAATCAAGCTCAGGGTACCAAAGTGTGATTAAGAAAAACAACAACA